TGTAATGCAGGAGTAATCATTTTTCCATGTAACACGCGCAGAAGAAAATCTTTAAATTAAAGATCACATTAAACAATGTAACCGTTGTCCGTTGATCACGTCTAGCTTTAAAGATTTTCCTAACTCGGTTCCTGATATGGTCGTAGTTAGTTCACCAAAACCAATACCAACCACCAAAGACTGGGATGGAAGCTTTTCTAATCATACTTTATCAAGACGTGACGGGTATTTGAGAATCTGCCATTATATCACGAGAGTCAGTGGACCGATCGTTCGTCGCTGTATGAAGTGCTTATGAAAGGAAGAGTGTGGCTCGAAGCCTCACGAAGGTCATTTGAGAACAGGGCAGCCCATGAGTTATTTCCTTCGAGAGATCGAAGGTAGTGATGGTAGTCTTCAGTCTTTGTGGGAACGTTGGAGTTTCATGCCGAGAAGAACCAGTGGAACAAGGAGTAATGACGGTAGATGTGTATGTTTGTGAAATGAATCATGAACAATTTTAGGTGAGGCAGAGACTGAGTGCGAAATTAAACTAGTTGACCCAAAGCCAAAGGACGTTCAACACTAAAGTAAACAACGGCAACTTCATATAGGATCTATACTAGCGTTTTGAACATTGTTGTCCCAATTAACAGTCAGTCTACTACCATTCCATATAATCTACACGAATCATCGTTTGCCATTAGGAAGCAATATTTCAGTTAGGTCAAAAACATAAACAATGAAATTATAGATTAGTTCCATAACTTTGTGTTTAGTATACATTATGGTAACATCACTTTTTTAAACCCAATTGCTCTTCAGGATTTCTTACATACTTCCTACTTTATTGCACTTAGCACAAACAACTAATATTCACGATGAATGGTCAATATAAAAACATATATCAGCGTTCAAATTTAAAGAGCGTCGTTTGCAAATATTATATCATGATTCAGCGGCGAACAGCACTGCCCGTTATCCGTACAACCCGACCCTGAAGCTATTCAGCGTGGGAAGTTTGTCATTTCAAAACCTTATTTATTTACCACATGCTGTGCGGTAAAAAGACCATGTAAAAACAGCAGAAAACCTTGTCCTTGTAGACTTGCATGATCATTAATTATCATCGTTGAAAATATTTCAACTTCGAACCAACTTAAAAATTAAAAGTTTTTCCAGTGACTTTTCCCAAAAGCTCTTGAAGTCATACCAATTACCAAAAGATGGGGTGAACGGTCGCTTCACAGGAATGCATTTCTCTATACCAGAAACTTTTCTGGGAACTCATTTGAAATTCTTATTACCATGCAGTGCGAGGAAAATAAAGACATAATACAATCAGAAGGAATGCAAAAAACTAAAGCATGCCATCTTAGTTTTGAGCTAACCAGTTCGTTTGATTATGACTCCCTTACTGGAGTGTCGATAGATAAAACTATCAAATATCACAAATCATCAAATATCAGTGTAGCCCGGATGTATACGTATTCAGGTAGGTAAGCTGAAAATTGTTATGTCTTATGATAATAAATTACACTGTCACATGTTCTGGCTTTGATCTGTTTAATATTAGAAATGCTCGCTAAATACTTTATTCCTCAATACTTCGATCATATGCACAAACTCGTTTTCTAGCACATCGATCTCTTCTTCGTAATCTCAAGAAAAACCACTTATTATAGTATCTCGTAACAAAATGCTACTGAAATTAGTGAAATATGACCGCAATGTTTGTTTGCTGAAATGTGACTCAATATCGGTTTGTGTGAGAGTCATTCTGTTCACAAGATGAAATAAATAAATAAATATTATATTCGCTTTTGTTAAATGTCTTCACTGTGCGATTGTGAAATTATACCGGCATCATATTCAGTTCACGAGCTTGCAAAATACGTGAGATAGATGTGTCTGATTCAGTCTGAATACTGATAGTCTGACAAATCCCCCATGTTATACGTATAATAGTGCGGAACGAAAACCTAATTGGACTGCATTGTATAAATAATACCCGCAAAATACGACGCAGCTTGAATGTCCTAAACAATACCCGCAAAATAAACAGTGAGACCAGGCTGTCCTAGAGAAAAATAGCCGTGAAAAAGCATTTACACCTCTTGAATCTTGTTCAAGGCCAAAGCAGCAGTGGCGTACGGGAGACGATAATTGGGGGGGGGGGCATGTCATGTTAACAGACATGTAAAAAAAAAGAGATCTAGAATTAATTTTGCACATGATGAATATATGAATACGTGCTTCCCCCCCCCCCAATTATCGTCTTCCGTACGCTACTGCAGAGCAGCCCAATATGTGATGGCAGAACCGCAGAAGCTCTGTCAGCGTTGCAATGGGCGCTAGTTTATCGTTTACTAAACTGCCTGAAGGGTTTAAAATTACAATCCATATTAGTACTACAAATATACGTGTAACGTGTAGCAAAAGAATTGGAGTGACTACCCTTATAAGTCAAGGCACTGTTCATTGTATTTTTATCCTGCCGTTTTGCTCATAGCCATAGGGTCGATATTTCAGTTTCTATCGTACCTAATGTTTCAAGACCGCTACTTATCCAAAATTAATTGCCTGGTTTTGTTAAGAGCATTTCACAAAAAAGGTTTCTGTTATATATATAATATTTTTTTGTATTTTGTATTTTTGTATTTCATATTTCTTACTTCTACTTTATTTCCAGTGTAATTTTTTAATGGCAGAAGGTGGAGAGGAAGCTCAGGATGTTGCCAGGGGAGCACTGGATGCTAGAATAAGATATACTGAACCGCCAGAAGGGGGCGCTGAAATTGCAATCCATATTAGTACTACAAATATACGCGTAGCAAAAGAATTATGTAAACTTGCTGGATATGCTGTCGTGGGAACTGGAGTAACTACCCTTGGTGTTTTGCTTGGCTATAAAGTGTTAAAACCATTAGTTGAGAGCGCTGTGAAAAAGGCATTGGGTGAAGAGGATAAAATTACACCAGGATCTCTTCGTGTTGTAATTCATTGTTTGACGGACGAGAGATTCCTGGAAATTTTCAAAGACTACGAAACTGGAAAAATGAAAACACGTTTGGAGGATGAGTTTGCACAAGTTGGGATTGAAGTGGAAGGATTAAAAGTCAAAATTGAAAACATCGAAGAAGTGAACAAAACAAAGAAGGAAATATATAAAAAGAGGTAGTAAATTTAATGCATCGATCGAGTTAAATGTAAAAAGTTTTGCTGAAAGGAATTAATCAGGTAATCAAATAGGTTCTTCCTTATGTCGTAGGAACGCTCGACGAACGCTGAAAGAAATGACAACAGAAGGTAAAGTGTTTGTACTTTTTTTGTTCCTGAGGCAGGCTCCTTTAACAGGACCTGTTCCGGTGGACCTGTTGAATAAAATTATTAATCGTGATGCTCATTTTAGCAAACCATATAATTTTTTCGAGAATCATATTTCATATGACAGCTAATTAATCATGTAGGATTGTACAAAGCAGAGTAAACATCTTTAGTGTGAAACTTGATTAATTATGAACAAAAGACTTGGAAAACAAACTAGAAATAGGAATTTATTGAGATACCAGTATTATTTATAGCTTGAAACCGTATATGAGTATATTTCTGAAAAACAAGATGTTCTCCAATATTTCAAAAAGGGGCTGGCCTCTTAGAAAGATTCTCCCCCTCGTACTGAATACCATTGAATTATTTTATGGACTTTACTTAATTTTTACAGTTATATAAACACGCCTAATTATAAATATGGCTATTATTTTCATTCTTTATCTCACTGCAGCCTTTTCAACGAGCGCAAGGCGAATAAGGAAAAAGATATCCTGGACCTTAAATCACCTTAACCATTCACTTACCTGTTTTTCGTACGCCCTTTATCGCAGACTACCTCTAATTAATAAAATAGACATTGCCGTCATTTTCGTCAGTGAATATGTGGATGATGCTGGAGATATTAAACAGTTGAAAGATTATCTTAACGAGGGCTACGTTAGAAGTGATAAAGGAAGGTCAAGACGTGTCAGAACTGATCGTCTTCTTCAAATGCACTTGGATTTTCCCGGAATAGAGTTAAGCCCCTTTGTTTTCAAAATAGACAAGCCCCAGTTGGATTCGGTTGGTTTTGCGGTCAATCACTTCAAAAGAGTTTCAATCGAAAGTCCAGCAAGAGGAAATATTAAGATATGCGAAAAAGATTCCGACGAAAACCTGTGGATTTTAAATTTGAATATTTGCGAAGAGAGGATAATCAAAAGTGGTAACTCATTTATATAGTACCGTTCATTACAGCGAGAATTTTTTTTGGGTTTTTTTTCAGGACTTTAAATCGCCATTATATTTTCTTTGATAAATTTGACAACTTTTCATGATATTTCTATTCCTGTGAATGCACTGTTATCGCTTATGAAAGGCTCGTTCCTCTTATGAAGCATGCTTATTTATTTGAAACCAAATCGTCTGCATGATAAAAGCAAAAGCAAATAACAAAACCAATTGCACGACATTGAGTAAAGTGAGTAAATTATTCATGCAGACAGTAAAACTGACTTCTATTATCCCACCGAAAGGCACCGATTTTCCCTCTCATCCTCCAGGAAAGTACATATTCTATATCAGTCTGTAGGCGCGAGAAATACTTTCAGTCTTGTTCATATCAACAATTAAGTGCTCTTTTCTGTACATATCTTCTTACTTTCTTATAATTCATTTTAGCTCAGCAACCGAACGACGAATCAGAAGGTACATTTTTAAAGTTCATATGTGCTTCATTCATTGCGAGATTATCGTGGAAGTGGTTTAAAACGAACCATGTAATTTGACAACTACGTCAAGTAATTTGACGCACTTGCTTTCCTATTGTCAGAAAAGTGTATCACATTTAGCCCGCGAAACTTAAAAATTTTTACGGATTTTGTATTTGTGATGCTTTTCAAACTGTGGTTAAATGTTTTTGAGATTTGCCAGGATTAATGAGCGCTATGGGTCTGGGTTGAATTTGTGGGCGCATACATGAAATCAAGCTGTTGATATATCAAAAATCAACCAGTTCATCTCTTTTTAGTTATCCACCGAATGACAAAACTTACCAAGATGGAAATAACGAGGGTGAGCCGTATGGTGGCAATGGATTGGGACAGTCTTGCCGGGCTCATGGATATTCCATATGAAGAACGTGAAGAGATCAGAACCAACCACGCAAAATATCCTGATTCTCTTTCCAAAGCGGAAGAAATTCTCATACATTTCAATGACAGTGATTGCTTTGATCGGGATGTTCTTGCAAAATCCCTCGTTGAATTGGGACGACGTGATCTTAAAGACGAATTGCTTCCTATGCTGGACGAGGTATTCAATATTTATAAAATAATCTTTGCCTTATCCAAGCTTTTGCCCCACCTATAGTTTCTCCAGTCTGTTCAGTGCTCACTACTTTCTTAACCAGCAATTTGTCTCCTCCAGTACAAAGTTCCTTCTCATGTTTTTATATGTGAAAGTATCAATTAGCAATTGATATTATTCCCCAGTTTCAATGTTCTTCAATGATATAAGGATAATGAAAAGTATCTTTTCTATAAACAGGTTTATAAAACTCGTAGTGTCTTACGTCTGAAAGCCGAAACTGTTAAGAAAACTGGAAAATCCAAAGGTGATGGAACAGAAGAAATACAAGAACTACAGACTGAAATCGTTCCAGAGGGAAACGACCAGCCTCTCTCCCCTCGTGAAATGTTCAGGTTAAGTCGCCGTATTGCCGTTGACTGGGACAGTCTTGCTGGCCTCATAGGCGTCGCCCAGGAACAAAGAGATGAGATCAGATGCAACGTCATTTACAGCGACAATCGTTCACGAGCTGAGAAAATCTTATCTATTTTCAACCACAGGAATGAATTCTCCCGTGAGAGGCTGGTAGAATGCTTGAAAGAGCTAGAGAGATACGACCTGATTGAAACAATCATCACTGGAAAATGGAAATTCTTGTAACGATCCAGAGTTTATACGTACCCTTTATTATTATTATAATTATTATTATTGCTGTTGAAAGCTAATATACATGAAGAAGACAAAAGTCTTAATTATACGATGCATTTACAATATTTTCTTTTCAAAAAGATAATTACAATAAAATCAGGCTAAAATTAGAAATCAAGCTAAAAAGCTTCAAGGGTCTCACTAAACTACGATTATAGCAGTTTATGGCATACACTAATGGCCTGTTCTTAAATCTCTCTGTTCTAAATTTAAAATTACAATACATTTTAGTATTTGATCTAGTTTCTCTTTGTCTTGTATCTCCAGCACGATCTGGGAGTAGGAGGAGATATGGGCCGCACACGAGAGCTATCAGTTGAGTTAACAACCTCACGAGGCAGTTAGCTCAGCCCGAAAACCATCCGCACACGTGAGAAACTTCCCTCTCGAGTCGAATTCCTCACGAAAAACTTTTAAGAAGCTTAAAAAAGTACCGCTTACTAGCTTTCTTTGCAATGTAATCAGTATTAGTGTTCCATTTTAAATCGGTATTAAGCCATATGCCAAGCAGTTTGAATGACGGCACCTTTTCAACATCTAAGTCGTACAAATTAATGGTTTTAATTGTAGATTTCCTCGCACGAAAATCAATGATGATCTCTTTTGTTTTGTTTTTGATATTCAGTACCATTCTTTGTTCGCGACAAACGTTGATATCCTTTGTATATTAAGTTTCATGTTTCCAATAGGAATATTCCATTTATGATTGGCTACATTCAGGATTCCGAAAGCGTAGTGTCATCGATACACATTGAAACTAGTTCTGAATTAGTTGAATTGTCAGTCACTGCAAAATCAGTCAGATGATTAATCTTAGCAATTTATCTTGTCCAAACTTGGACAATTCATTATCAAACTTAACCCTTTGTTGACGTTGAGAGAGATACGTACGACGCTAACCATGCACGGCAACAAAACAGGCCTTACACCCTATTTTTGCAAATCAGATAGAAGAATATTATGATCATCCTTTAAAAACGGCCTGATGTAAGAAATATTCTAGCGCATCTTGAATCCGAGGCTTAATTGTGGTAAACTGTTTGACCTGACTTCAAAAGTGGAATGATTCAGCGTCGAACAGCGCTGCCCGTCATCCGTACAACCGTACAAACCGGCCCAGAAGCTATTCAGTCATTAAAATACGGGGGAAGTTTCTCATTTCATAACCCTTATTACCACATGCTGTGCGGTAAAAACACCATTCAAACAGCAAAAAAAAACTTGCAGGCCAGATCATGAAATATCGGTGAAAATGTTTCAACTTCGAAGCAACGTACTTCCTAGCGTTGGTAAGGAGAAAACAGTACACACACCGTACATCAACTGATGGTCTACTGATTATATTGGTCGGCTCTATTAAAGCCAGGTAAGCTGAAATATATATTACTTAGATCTCAAAAAGCTTGTCTGCATCGGTAAGTTGCGAAACATGAGATTGAACTTTGTGTGTATAAGAGATTAATTCCGTTGGTTTCTCCTAGTATATAAACGAATTAACTTTTGGCTTCGTCACCCTAAAATGATATTCAACTGCATGACTGAAGCATCTGAATTAGGTGGTGAAGCGGATGAAATACAGCAATTACTAACACAACACGAAACCCCTCCAGAGATGAACGTTCAGCCTCTTTCCCCTCGTGAAATGTTCTGATTAGGTCGACGTATTGTCGATGTCTCAGCTGAATGTGTACCGGGCCCCTTTAAATACTTAATGGGCATGGACAAAGAGGACAAAAATACGCAATACTAGATGTAACCTTGCTATTTACAGCGACAAATGGTTTAAGACGAAGTAAAACTGGTTATTCCAGGAACTCATTAAAAATTTTTAACACCTGCTGTGTGGGCAGGAAACTTGGAGCTGTTTATTCTTGAGAGACAGATTATTGACGAAAACAAAATTATGATACAGATAAAATGCACTAACTCGCAACTCATTTCACATTAAAACTCAAGTTCCCTGAAGTTTTTATAAACTGTACAACGTCGTATTTTGTTCAGATAACTGAGGTAAGAGCAAATATATGCAAGCATCTTGGTGTAATTATATATCTAGTCAGGCATGTACATATATAATGATTTAATATAGCAACAATCGTATGATATTTCAGACGACTCAGTTGCTGTCACCGGCGGGAGAATCTTGCTATCGGTGACGATATGAGAATATTCTGTTCATTCTAGTTCAAACGAAAATGTCTATTCTTGTGAAAAACCCTAAACTATGTTCGAGCTTGTTTGCTTTGTATATATTTGAGTTTTGAAATGCAATGTTTTGCTGTCTGGCGAAGAAGACAGACATGCAGGGACAGGGTAAAATATTCTCAATACATCCAGGAATAATGATGAGAGAAGTGCAATGGGGAGTTGCAATGTGTTTATATACTTAACTTTGCTATTTCAAACAAACATTAAAAACATAAAGCGTTTTTTTCTGACCATGTTTATAGCTTAAAATTCCTGCAACAGATACATAATTTATCGAGCAATAATTATAAGTGAAGTGATGATAGGTGAAGAGACGGCAGGCGGCCGAATTTGAGGATACAAGTTAGGCTATATTTATAGCTAATTTTAAAGCTTTCATCTTCGAACGAAAGGCTTGCTTGTCAATTTATTTTAAATGATATTTATTACAGATGCTAATATACCCAGTAGAATATTCGTTAAAATTGATATATACAACGGTATCTTTGCTATACAACGACTTCTACACAACTGTAAACTTAGAAGATTTATACGACAAAGTTCTATCAAATTTCACTCGGTTACGGATAGATTCATAATGAGCATTTTACGTGGTTTGATCTGCTAAAGATTCCCTGGATAAGGTATAATTATGATATACGATAAGCTGCAGAAATTCTTTTCATTGTTGAAGGTCTAGTTATGGCGAAGAAGAGTGACGAAAGAGAAACTTCAAGCATTGATTCACCTGATGAGGGCAATAGTAAAGATCACACCAGGAAAAGTAGGTTAAGCATGTTTGGTCCTTGGGTAAAATCAATTGAGACCACTAGGAGAGAAGGGGTTTTCACTTGGGAGAAAGTGGGGGGTCTCTTTATCTCTCTCCGGAATAAAGTCTCTAAAGCCGCGTTTACACTACATGTGAACGCTGTTTATCCGGCCTATAGCCAGGCCTGCATGGACCTGACCTATAGAGCAAAATTTTGGTAATGTGAACAAGCTTTACATAGTCCTGACAAATTTTTAACTAAATAGTATGATTTGTATAGGATCCATATAGCATTAGCCCGTTTAGGCGTGTTTTTGGTCTTTTTCAAGTATTTTGTCAAAGACAGTGTGAACGTAGCACGCATTACCTGGACTTGTCCTAGACCTTGTCCAGGTCAGGTCTAGGCCTGAAGTGTAAACGCGGCTTAAGATTATCGCCAAGGCTTGCCAAAGCCGAATAACCCATTTTTATACCATGCATATCGCATGATTCATCAACTTTTTTCACTTCAACATCACAAAAGATTTATCCAGGAAAATGCATTTTAATTGTTTTTATCGTATCGTGTTTCAAAGGTTTCCAAATAGATATTTCCGAAGAACATGGTAATTGGTTGGCTGTTGGCGAACTAATTCGCCTGATCAGGAAACCTATAGCAACCTACGTTGATGAAATCGTTAAAGCTTTTCACCAGAAGCTCTGTCACGATTTGTCATTTGTTGGCAAGTGCAAAAGCCCTGAAGATTGCAGAAAAAAGACTAAGCCTGGAGAACTTTGTGTATCGTGCAAACGTTGGTCGCAGGACCTTAATAAGTCGCATAGAGCTGGCAGCAACCCATCGTGGCATAAGAATTGCAACAGCGCAAAATGGTCTGAAGATCCCTGGGAGGTGGCGAAATTCTTCATGTCGGCTCTTGGATCTAACCAAACTACTGTGAAAGATGCAAAATCCACGGATCTGTCATCTCTTCTTAATGTTCTCGAATGGATAAAGGATGGAGCGTTTCCGGGAAAAACGAGAGTAGACATTGAACTTGCGAGAAAACTTCGTTCTCAAGTGAGAAATACCTGGGCACACGCACCGAAACAAGAATTTGATCACAGCAAAAAATCGCAAAGTTTCTCGATTGCCAACGAATTTCTAGAGGATTTAGAGGCAAAATTTTCTCATAAAGAAACCAAAGATTGCAAGGAATATCTAGATAATTTAGAGAAGAACGGAGTCGCCAATATCGTTGAAAGTGAACTGAAAAGCCTGCTGTTGCAACGCCAATTACTAGATGATATTAAAGAAGAAATGACACAAATGAAAGTCGATCGTTCATCTGACAAAAGCAAGATGGAAGAGCATGAACGAAAACTGAAGAAATTGGAAGTTGCATTGAACGAATGTTCTCAAAGAATGTCAGATTTCGAAAGTCTTAAAGAAAACATCAATAGACATTTCAATATCTTTGAAGAACAACTGAAATATTTTCGTGCTATTCCTGAAGATATTCATGAAATACGTAACAGTATTGGACAAATCCGTGACAATCTCGCTAAGATGAATGAACGACAAAAAGAACGAGGGCCAACGAGAAGTTTACTTGACCGCGTGCCAAAGTTCACTGCTCGGGAGGGAGAAATAAAGGAGGTCTTTTCTCTTCTTATCGAAGAAAGAAAGACCGTTGTGTCTCTTCATGGCGGACCGGGTTTTGGTAAAACTGCTATCGCCATCGAGGTGTCCCATCAACTCAGCGAAGACCCCAACATAACAGTCATTTTCTCTCAACTAACCACAAAAACAACTGTTGATGAAATGGTCCGGCAGCTTTGCCTTGATGTCGGTGTAAATTACGAATATGATGATCCAAAGCAGTCGCTCGTTCTCTGTTTGAAAAATGTCAAAACCAAAATCATTTTTGTTATGGATGACATCGACAACCAGCTTGAACAAAACAACCGTTCAGGCTTCGACGATTTTATCAAATTGTTAGGAAAGATTGATAATTGTCAGATGATTACGACCTCCAGATCGTCCTATCAAATTCCTGGCCTTTCAGTTGAAAAAGTTGATGTTGAGGAGATGGATGACAAGGCTTGTATGGAACTTCTGAAAAAACAATGCTCTGTACACGAAGACGAATTTTTGCAAAAATTAGCTGAAGAATGTGGTAAAATACCTCTTGCCATGTGCATCGCCGCACCTCAAGTTGACGACTTTGAAGATCCTTTTAAATTCTTGCATTATCTCGAAAAAGAACCGTTCAAGACCTTGGAATGTCCCGAGACTAACCAATACGTGTACCGAGCCATTAATATGTCTTACGACAGGTTGGATAAAGCCCTAAAAGAAACGTTTGTGCGCTTGGCTGAATTTGATGGAAGTTTCAGCGAAAAAGCCGCCAGCTTTGTGATTGAGAAGGACATTATAGATACGAAGCGTATCCGAAACGATTTAGTACGCCGAAGTTTGATTAAACAAGAAAACGAGAACCGATACTCCATTCATCTTTTGATCAAACATTTCGTAAGAGATCAACTAAGAGGCGAAAATGAAATGGCAGAAAGAGCCCGCGAGCAAGCAACACGTGCAAAATTGTTGATGGTAGAATTCTATCTTGAGTTGGGACATGATTTGACCATAAAGAGTTACTCCAAAGACGGTTACAAACCCAACAGAGAAGCTTTGAAGCAGGAAGCGCACAACATCCAAAATGTACTCAAGATTTGTTTTCAACAAAACGATGACTCCTCCAACATCCTTAACTGCCTCGCAGAAAGTGAAATTTACACCTGCTCAGGGAAATTCTTTTCACTTCTTGTCAGAACCATCATTCCAGGATCTATCGTTGACAAGTTTCTACAAAGCTGCGCGCAGCTGGCCCAAAAGAGAGAAGATCATGCAATCAAAATGAATTTTGATTGTTTGCTCGCGGAAGCAGAACGCGACAGAACCATTGGAATTAGAGAAGACGAAGCTTTTACCTCCAAGATGAAAGAAATCGAGAAAAAGTTTGAAACACACTATGAAGTTTTAAAGCATGACAAGTCACTTTGTGCTTATTACTATTATCTGTTTGGGAGGTATCTATTGCGTAAATCCGAACGTTGTAAGGGTAAGAAAAGTAAAGAACGCTCAAAAATACAGAAGCAAGCGCGTGAAGAACTGGAAAAATCATTAGAACTGAGGAACACGCTTATTGACACACCCGTGGGAATGGCGGATAAGGTATTCACGTTATTGCAACTGGGAAATGTATGCAAATTAATTTCTACAACGGGAAATTTTGTGGAACAAGCACAAGAATATTACAAAGAAGCTACAAAACTTTCCCGGGATAATTTTGGTGATCACGAGCTAACATCGCACGGTTATAAAACTCATGGAGATCTATATCTAAAAATCGACGAATACGACAAGGCGAAGGTAAATTACACATTAGCCAAAGAAATGCGGGAAAAACTGGGTCTTGATGCGAATAAAAAACATGTGTCACTGCTCAACAACCTCGGCATATGTTTGAGGAAAAATAAGCAACAAAGCAAAGCTATTGAAGTTTTAGAAAGCGCTCGTGATATGGCGGAGAAACTGGCTGAAAGCGACGAACCAAATCGATGCAAATCTAAAGTCTACACAAATTTGGCTTTGGCCCACAATGCAGTGCAAAACGGTTCTCAATATGCTGCAAACTACGCTAAAAAAGCATTTGAATTCAAAGAATTAAAGGGCGCCATAAAATGGTATGAGTATGACGAACTTTGCGAGCTACAATCACACCTATCTTCAGACTTGCATATTTAACTGATTAATAATTGCATATTTGTAAAAGATAATGTTAAACGTATACCTCACGCCAGGAGAAATGTTTGAAATGAATGTGCTGTATACCCTGATAATGCATGACTACATAGAAATTAAAAGAATCGACATTTGTTATATATACATGGTGCATGACAGACAATTTCAAAGTATAGAGCAATGGATTAACAAGTTGACAATAATTATCTTTTTGTATTTACTAAGGCGCTGCCTAAGAATTTTCTACATTTACAGTTTTCCGCAGTCAACTGGACTAAAACACGAACTTGCATTCAGTTTACGTAGAAATGCTTTGCTAAGGATTAAAGTACGAATTATAGTAGGTTTACCTTTTTAACTGAGTATAATGAATTTAAAATAATACGATTTTTTATACATTGATTGTGTCACTGCCTGGTTTGATTAATCATTGATATAATCTGAGAGGGATTTGGCTGCCCAATTTTAAGCAAAGTTAAAACTCAATTCCTATGAGTCGGAACCCATGTTGTGTTTTCAACGTTTTCTTCGTTACGGTAAGAAGCTCTTCCGGGAACTCATTTGAAATTCTTATTACCTCATGCAGTGCGAGGAAAATAAAGACATAATACAATCAGAAGGGATGGAAAAAGCTAATTAAAGCATCTTAGTTTTGAGATAACCATTTCGTTTGACTCCCTTACTGGAGTGTCGACAGATAAAACTATCAAATATCACAAATCATCGAACATTAGTGATTATATAAGGTAGCCCGGATATACGTAACTCAGGTAAGTTGAAAATGCTACTGAAATATGGCTGCAATGCATATGTTTGTTTGGTGAAATGTGATCTCAATATCGGTTTGTGTGAGAGTCAATTTCTGTGCACAAGATGAAATAAATATCATATTCGCTTTTGCTAAATGTCTTCGCGGTGTAAGAAATAAAATAAAAATCATGATTCAGTTCACGAGCTTGCTAAATACGTGAGATAGATGTACTGATTACTGATTACTGATAGTCTGACAACATGTCTGACAAATCCCCCATGTTACTACGTATACTAGAACTAGAGGTTACTATTGCGAGGGAGTGCTGCCATGCCAAAAAAGCACTTTGTACAAGGTTCGCAGCTAATGGTGCAAAGAAAGTGAGCTGCCTGACCAATGTGATGAGCAACAAATATAAAATCAATACAATTTTAATAACGAACCATTCATGTTTATTGCTGTTGAGCACCAGTGAGGCAGCACACTATTTTCGACGTAGGATAAAAATTTACCAAAGCTCACTTGACCCGCCCCTTTGCGTGAAGCTAGCTATGTAAAGTTGAAAATGGTTTTGTGTTTGTCTGATTGTGGTAATTCCAGGGAACAGTCGTTTGAAATTCCTGAGCAGGGGAAGGGTGTTGATTGCATGCGTACTGTTTTGGAATTCAAGAAGCAATTCTTTTGTGAAATAACAATAGCCACTGATTGTTATTTGCAAAAACAGCTGTCGATTTTTATTTACGTGTTCATTCTAGCAGTAGGCAATATGGTTTTATGTTTTTATCCGAATGTTAAATTTACAAGATATACGATCGATAAAAAATACCATACAACACACAATTAAGATAATTCATAATATTTACAATGTTTACGGTCAATACGATATATATATATATATATATATATATATATATATATATATATATATATATATATATATATATATATATATATATATATATATATACTACAAGATACCGTTTATAATAGCGCAGAGCGAAAAACCTAATAGGACTGCATTGTGAATACCCGCAAAATACGAGGCAGCTAGAATGTTCTAATTGTCCTAACTGCATTGTACCCGCAAAATAAACAGTGAGATCAGCTGCCCTAGAGAGAAATAGCTGTGAAAAGCATTCAACAGAAATGGATTTTGTTATGTATATAGATAGCATCGATCTTTATTTTTAGTTTACTTCGTTCACCAGAGCAGCGCAATTTTGTGATGGCAGAAGCTCTTTCCGAAACTGGACAAACAGCTCAAGATGCTGTCAGCGGTGCACTGGATGCTAGTTTATCATTAATGAAACTGTCCGAAGGGGTTAAAATTGCAATCCACATTAGTACTACAGATATACGTGTGGCAAAAAAATTATGTAAACTTGCTGGATATGTTGTCGTGGGAACTGGAGTAACTACCCTTGGTGTTTTGCTTGGCTATAAAGTGTTAAAACCAATTGTCTTCAGCGCTGTGAAAAAGGCATTCGGTGGAGACAGAAAAGATCAAGATACAGATGAATTCAAACCAGGATCCCTTCATGTTATAATTCGTTGTTTCACCGACGAAAGATTTATGGAAATTGTTGATGATTACGAATGTGGTAGAATAAATGAGCGCTTGCAAAGAGAGTTTTCGCAGGTTGGAATTGAAGTGGAAGGATTGAAGGTTGAAATTGAGAATATCGAAGAAGTCAACAAAACAAAGGAGGCTATAAATGCTAAGAGGTAAAAAATTTCAAATTGTTAAAAATTTGAAAGCAACAATTTGTAGTCAATGACTAAATCTCGTTTATTTATAATCGTAGGAGTGTTCGTCCAACTAAAATGATGAGTGAGGCGTTGGCGGAAAATAACTTGGATGCAACTGCAATCAAGTATGAAGATGATGATGAGTCGAATTTGGTCACTAGCAGGCACGAAGGTATATTCATTGTATTCGGATACTTGGGTTAGGAAAAAGAGAAAATTATTTTCCTATAAGCGTGTGTTACTTCTCCCCATTCCCTCAAAAAGTTGCAAAAAGAGTTTCGTCCAACCTTCGACTGGTTGGTCACCGAGTCATGTGCCAACTGCTAACATACATAATTTAATATTGTTTTTTGTACATGCATGTGATTTGGTACATGCAGGGTGTTCAACTTTGAACTTTCCTCACAAACGTCACTCAAAGTAAACCTTCCTCACGGGTGTACCCGTTTACCCGCAGCTTTTTTGTAACTCTGTTCCCTCACATCGCTCCTCCGGGCCAACTCTCCTCATCCCACTCATAATCAAGTATACTTATGAACGAGATACAATATCACAAAGAAACAACTCAACCAAGAATGCAATTTACCAAATCTTTCTAGAAATTGGAAGTCGCATTAGACACCGTCTGGACGATGCACGCGTGTGGATCAAGGCAAATAAAATTTCTGGCGTGGAAGAATTTTTAAAAGCAAAACTTTATGAATGGAAAGAAGTGAAAATACAATTCGCAGTTATAGGAGATTCTGGCGTAGGGAAGTCAGCATTTATCAACGCAATAAGAGGGTAAAGTACCCGTTTTTAACGAAACTAGGACGATGCCCCGGAGGGCCTTAAGTAGAGGTGCCTTGGCCTTTAGAACCATAGTTCGTAAAACATTTTACAGTCGCTTTAGGTCATTTTCAAATGTATATATATTTGGTTAAACCCAATTTTATTATCTATTTGAATGTGTTGTATTGTTCTGACAACTGTTTTTGTTTTTCTGTGAACTATGTAGTATTTAAACTTCCGGAATTTAATCTTAAAAACAATTACTTAATGGTTTCTGTGATTGGGTGGCCTGATCCAAAAACGCGGAAATGTTGCGAGAGTTAGAACACTCGTTATATATATTTTTCTTTTATAATAAAGCTTATACTGCTTGATTAGACTTAGAGATGATGATGAAGGCGCTGCAGAAACTGGAGTCCTTGGAACAACGACTGAGTCAAACCATTATAAACATGCTGACAACTCAAACATTAGCTACCTGGATATGCCGGGTACCGACACGCCAAACATTCTTCAAATCTGTGAAAAAAGTGGGTTGGCAGAATGCAATATGTTTCTCATTATCTCATCAACAGAATTCACACCATTCGAACTGAAATTAGCAAAGGCATTGAAATCCTCAGGAAGAGCGTTCTTTTTTATCCGTACGAAGATCGATACTGAGATGCAAAACGAATCAAGAAAGCAAAATTTTGACGAAAATAAAAGCCTGAAATATATTCGAAGGCAGCTCTATGAAACTACAAAGGATTTAATTTCCAGCGAAGAAGAAATGTTCTTGATCAGTAACTACGATACAAACAAATGGGATTTTGACCGTCTTATCACAGCCATCAGCGAGGCGCTGTTTGTTCTTCAGAGAGAGTTTTTGACAATTGCTACACGGGAGTACTTAATGAGAAAAGGTATATAAAAAAAGGAATCCTTGCATTCCAGAATCTTATATACTAGCTGTCTGCATGATTAAGAACAAAAGCAAATAACAAAACGAATTGTCATCTGTCATCCCACCGTTTTCCCTATCATGCTCTAGAAACAACACGCTCTAGAGAAATATATAATTGATCTTTCCTCATGCAACATCACTCTAATTATACCTTTTTACAATTCATTTCAGCCCCACCTGATAAACCGGACAATGAACCAGAAGGTACATTTTTAAAGTTTATATATTCATTATTGGATGGAGGATGTAATTGGACAACTACGTTATTAACGCACTTGCTTTCCCATAAAAAACACAATGCATTATCAGTACAAAACTAAATTCACGTGGTGTTTCCACAAACAATCGTCCAAAATTAGTTTTAATTAATATTCTTTAATATTTAATTAATAGACCGGGAGTTCTAGCTGAATATAACAAACACAAATTTATTACAAATTTCACTACTGATTTTGTGATGCTTTTCCCGACATGTACATATGGTTTTGAGATTTGCCAACATTAAATTGATGTTTAATGAGCCCAATACGCGGCATGTAGAATTTTTGGGTGAATACATGCAACCAAGCTGTTAATGATATGAAAAATCAACCAGTTCATCTCTTTTTAGTTGTCCACCGAATGACAAAACTTACCATGGAGGAAATAACGAGGGTGAGCCGTATGGTTGCAATGGATTGGGACAGTCTTGCCGGGCTCATGGATATTCCTTATGAAAAACGCGAAGAGATCAGAACCAACTTCACGAAATACCCTGATTCTCCTTCCAAAGCGGAAGAAGTTCTCAAATACTTTAATAACAGTGATTGCTTTGATCGGGATGTTTTTAGAAAATGCGTTGATGAATTGGGGCGGCATGATTTAATAAACAAATTGCTTCCTATGCTGGACGAGGTATTGAATATTTATAAAATTATCTTTGCCTTATCCAAGCTTTCGCCCCACCTAGTTTCGTTCAGTTCCCTTCAATATAATTATGCGGGGCTGTTTTCAATTTCTTCTATAGCTCCCTGCCTTAAGACTCTTGGAGGATATTCCTCCAGTCTGTTCAGTGCTTACTACTTTCTTAGCCAGTAATTTGTCTC